TTCCTTAAATCATTTCACCATCAATATATTTAAATAAATTAAATCCATTAAAGATATAGTGCATACTATAAATTGCATATTCCATCTCATATTTTCCATAAGAATATTTCAATAATATCAAGTCAAGATATTTCTTCAATAATCAAGATAAGATATGGTCAATATTTCCTAATCAATATTTGACCATATGCTACAAGATATAGTTACCATATTTAACAAACTTGAAGACAAAGCAACAAGAGAAGATATCCAAGGGTGGGGCGTGCCACCCATGTATGGTATGTGGGGCCCCACCTAATACCCACATGGTGGGCCCATGTGCACTATGGGCCCCCATGTAATTTTTAATAAATATTTTAAAATTAAACAAAATGAATTTTAAGACATTATAACTTTGTAAATTAATAACTTCATTTTTATAAGTCCAAAAATAAGAAATAAAATATCAAATGACTTATAAAAATTCAAATAATAAATATAAAATAATTTAATAATAAAATAAACACAATTAAATTAATAAGATGGGAAGTGGATCCATATAGTTCAGGAATTCAATCAACGATCACGGGGTATTTCACCTTCAACTGTGGACTACAGACCACACTTGTTTTATCGAACCGACCCAGTGTTTCCTATGACCCACAGTCCAAGCAGGGGCTCATTAGCGGGTCACCAAAGTTTGGTCGATGAGTCAAAGAGTCGCACTCCTAGTCTGTGGATTACATGCCCTTTCTTAGAGACAAGTCAAGGTCACCACGACCTTATGCGACCACAGCTCTATGGCGCATGAGGGTATCTCTCGCACATGCATATGCTTCACCCAAAGGTGGATATCTAGCTTTTCTGAACGATTTATCTATATGCATGCTGTGTGATAGAACAAGGATGAGGTTTTGGCCCCCGTCTCTGTAGGCCTACCATCACACACAAGGGTCACACAGTTCCTCGGAACGATTTGTCTATATGCATGCCGTGTGATAGAACAAGGATGAGATTTTGGCCCCTGTCTCTGTAGGCCTACCATCACACACAAGGGTCACACAGTCCCTCGGCTCACTCGTCTAGGTATAAGGTCCAACCTTATCAAGGGCTAACCCAAAATCCCTTCTCGGTTTATTTTTTATGCCCAGGTACCTTGGGTTTTCCAACCGACTGGCCTAGATCGTCAAGCACAGTCCGGCATCCGCAAATATCATTTGCTTAATATGGTCTTCGAGAGACCATACTCCCACTGCATTTATGTTCCACTACAATAAATGTTTTTCATTACATACTCATAAGGCTTTTACAAGCCATATAAACCCAACAAATAACCTTTCCCAAAATATCAACATCTCTTTCTTTTCTAGCAGCTGATGTTGGTTATGTATCTAAACGACTTCAAGCTCAATGTTTTTGTTTGTATTTTGGGTCAAATTGGTTCTCTCTCTCATGTGTATCTCGTCATTTTTATGCTAAATGGTTCACGATGTTAACTCATATGTGGAATTATGGTTTGGTAGCGATGGAGTTGCTGCTTGTTGAGAGTTATTTGGTTCCTATGACTCTCATTACTGCTGAAGATCTAAATATTTCTTTAGATCCCTTTTTGTTCCATTTATTTTATTTTTACCTTGTAATGGCCTGTTGTAAGGGGTGGTATTGACTCTTTGGTTGATGTACTGGTTACTGTTGAAGCAATAAAATTATTATTGATTCTCAAAAAAAAAAAAAAAAAATTACGGTTTGGTAGCATTCAATTGAGATGATTCTTTGATATGTAATTCAATTGAGATGGTTCTTCTTTGATATGTAATTATTTTAGATGATTATTTGAGATGAACCTTTTTTTTAGATAGCTTTAACCTTTTTAGTAACATTTTATGTAGAAAACTAAAGCTTTCGAGCCTACTGAAGGTGCAATTGAGATGAAATTATTTGAGATAATTATTTAAGATGAGATTATTTCAGTTGACTATTTGAGATGGAATTATTTTGATACGGTGAGTTCTCAGAGATATTTTATGTAAAGAAATAAAGATTTTAGCATATTATTATTATAGATGTATTTGGGATGAAATTATTTAGTACTTGTTTGAAATGAGATTATTTGAGATGAAAAATTATTTGACGTGGTTTTGAATTTTCAAAAACATTTATGCAGTAAATTAAAGCTTTCAAGCATATCATAGATTTATTTGATATAGTTATTGAGATGAAATTATTTGAGATAGTTATCTAGAACTGAACCGACAAGTAAATGCAAAAGAGAAATTATAAAAAATGTACCTTAATTTTTAGATAAATGTCAAACTTTTCAAAACGTCATTCATACCTTTGTTTTGGGTGAGAAGACAAAAATAATCTTCACAGTTTACGTGAGTAGACGAAAATAGCCTTCACGGTAGTCTTAGAACTATGAATGCATCACAGTTTATTGCAAATTATGTTGGCCATGGCAGGTTATCAGTCAAATGTAATTTTGAAGCATCACTACACTAAAAGAACCATGATGGTTAATGGACTTCACGATTTTAATTTAACCGTTATACCTTCGTCATGGGGCATAAGAACTCTTAAAGACTATAAGTGTCGTAATGCCCCTTAATGATCATTACAGTTATTTAAGTGTCATGATGCATCAAAACATTAAATTGCCTATGACTATCACTGTAGTGAGTCTACTATGATATCTTCATGATCCTAAAACGCTTTCCAGATACGCTTTCATGTCATCTAGTTGAGTCTCAGTTTGGAAAAAAAGTCGCTTGGTTATGGGTTTAATGGGCTGCCCTTAGTTTGCAGCTTGCTTTATGAAGGGAGTTTCATCCAAAGTATGCCGTTATGTTATGAGATCTCAGACTTGCGGAGGCTTATCTCATGAGTCTACCTTCTGTGAAGTTTATTTTGTTAAAAAACATGTAAAATTGAACAAAAGCGATATGGATGAGGTTTTAGAAACTTCAAAGTTTATTCATGTAGTCTAAAAATTAACAAACCATAGTGATGTCAAGGGCACTAATGCAACACCAAGTAAATGTTAGGTCCTATTATTATGATCTTAGTATTATACAATGTTTCGAAACCCAATTCGACAGGGTGAATGGTTCCCGGGTAGCTAGGGTCGTGGTAGTAGCATCTCACGCCTAGTCACATCTTGTGGTTTTCATTACTACCAGTAAAACCATCTCCCTAATACTTTCAAAAATCTAACTCTTAATCTACTTAATTAAAAAATAATAATGTTGTCTTCTCCTATGAATTACAAAAAAAAAACTATAAATTTATGTTAGAATATTGGGTTGATGATCTGGGAAAGTCTAGATCGATCAGAATTGATGATACAGAATTTTTTTAAAAAATGAAAATATAGTTTTACATTGTGGGGATCTAAAGAGAACATGAGAGACTATTAAATAAGCGGAGAAAAAAGAAAATACATGTCACCGGCTGGCCGAATCTACCGTTGAACCGGTTCTGTCTGATTTATTCCCATCCGGATCGACGATCGCTTGGATTTACGATACCACCCTCACATAGGCATTCGCAAGCTGCAAAGAAACCATCGGGAGAAAGATTCCATCAGAAATGGCGACTCTCACAAACACCTGTTCTCTTATGCTTCCAACCTCTCTTAAAGCCCTTGAAAAAAAAGATTTAGGGTTTTCCAGGAAGAACCCATTTTCATGGAGATGTGATTCCATGGAAGATAGGGTGAAATTTGGACAGATTTTATGCAAGCAGTTTGGTAGCAAAACTGAAAACCCTAGGAATTCTCAGAGCAAGATTGACGAGTACAACACAGCTATGAAGAGGCTCATGAGGAACCCATATGAATATCATCATGATTTAGGTACCTCATTGAATGTAACTTTCTTATGATTCTTATACTTATTCATTTGCTTTCATTTTGTGGAAAAATGCAGAAATTAAAGTTATCTATTGATGAAAATTTTAAATTTCTATTGATTTTAACGATTTTATTTTTTTGGCATTGATTTTTATCATGAAAGTATGTTAGAGATGTGATTTTGGGAGGATTTAGGTACCTCATTGAATATAACTTTCTTATAATTCTTTTACTTATTCATTTGCTTTCATTTTGTGAAAAATGCAGAAATTGAAGTTATCTATTGATGAAAATGTTAAATAGCTATTGATTTTAACGATTTTATTTTTTTTGCATTGTTTTTTATCATGAAATTATGTTAGAAATGTGATTTTGGGAGGAAACTTGGAAAAATATCTGGAAATTAGTGGGAAAAGGGCCTTTTATTTTTCATGATCTGCTTTCTTCTAACTTATTGTTCGGTTATTTCTTTTAATTTACCTTATAAGCATTAAAAACTCCCAATAAAAGAAATTAAGGGAACTCGATATAATTGTTATGAAAAATGATAGGAGTTTCTTTTTTTTTTTTTTCTTCTGTATTTTACTTTGAAACAAAAATTGGGTTGAATTTACTGGATGTCTAGATGTCATGGATGCAAACTTATTCTAATTAGGTTGTGAATTTGACCATATTTCTTCTCATGATTTATTAAGGAAAAAAATGAAATTAAAGAAGATGGTGCCATGAATTTTTTCTTATAAGTGGTTAACTGGTTATAATCCTGAGACTGTGTCAATGTAGTTTTTATCTGAGTAAAAGATTACCTTTTTTTGTTTCCAAACTTGCAGATATGGTGTCGTTTCATGCTCTGTTATGTGAATCATGAGCAAAGAAGAAAGAATTCTATGTTATTCATTAGTTTATTGTTCTGAGCCAACAAAAAGTGAAGAAATATGACCTGTTTTGATCAATTTTTCAAGAATGTGGAGTCTCTATCACTCTTTTCTACTACTTGTACTGAAAAACCATGGATTTTGAGAAATAATTGAAACCACAATTTTATAGGCATCTTTTTAAACAAAAAAAAGTACGAGAATTTAATTTGTGGTTACTAATTATCGAAATGCCACTGCTTTCTCTTAGAAATGATATGGAGAAACAGATTCACATTTGGGGTTCAGATTTTTTAAAAAAATTAAAAAAAGAAGAAGTTAGAAATCCTTTTTTTCTAACTTGTGCCACTGTATCCTAGTTATACATGAATTACAACTAAAGCCTCAGCATCTTTTATTACTTCCAGCTTTAATTTGTGGGTTATCAATGCAGGCATGAATTATACGTGTATAAGTGAGGGCTTAGTAGTGGGTTCTCAGCCTCAGAAACCAGAAGACATAGATCACCTGAAACAGGAAGAAAATGTTGCTTACATTCTGAACCTTCAGCAGGATAAGGATGTAGAATATTGGGGAATCGACCTCATTTCAATTGTTAAGAGATGCAAAGAACTTGGTATCCGTCATATGAGAAGGCCTGTATGTTGTCTTTCCTTTGCAGGCACATAAACTCATGTGAATGAGAGGGAGGGAAGAAGGGAGGAAGGGAGAGATTCAATTTTATGTAGTCTCTGTGTATTTAGGTGTGTGTATGTATGTATTTGTCCTGCCTTCTCAACATCCCAGGTTCAAATACCACCTCTGACCTCCCTAAAAGTATAACTATCCAGTGCCTTCTCTTTTAATGATTTTTCAAATGGTTCCATGTTTTAATGAATCCCAACAGTCGCCTTGTTCTTTTAAAAATGACCTAGACACTACTGTTCCTCCTAAAGCGAATAAGGGTGAATTTTTGTCTACAAACAGTTGATGTTATTTGTTGTCAATGGAAATTCTATTTATAATATTTTTGGTTGGATTTATTGTAAATGTCAATTCTATTTCTAATATTTTTGGTTGGACGACTTGTTTGTTGGTATTGCCAGTGAAATGCTTGAGCTGTTCTGAAGAAATGTGACTAGTCTTAGGTCGTGGAGTATAATTTATAACAAATGTGTAATAAGCAGAAGGAGGAGATGTTTGTTTGGAGAGCACTTATTAAAAAGTTTGCATTATGCATTCTAGGAGTGTGTGTTTTGAATTCTCCAAACCAATATTTGAAAATAAGAGGAAAGCTATCTTTGTTACTGTTAGTTCATTTGAAATCTTTCAAGTGTATGGGAATAAATTTAGATAAAAGTATGAAAATTTAGTCACATTAGCCAATTTTTCCAGTGACAACTGAGTTGTATTGAAAATATTTTGTATACCATGTTTCTTATCCCACGCTCATGGCAAATTGAATACATTTAAGTTCACTTAAATTTTTATTGTCTGTGCATGCAAACCTAGGCTGGAGATTTTGATCCTAATTCTTTGAGAAGAGAATTGCCAAAAGCAGTTTCTTCGCTGGAATGGGCTGTATCAGAGGGACCCGGAAGGGTTTATGTTCATTGTACAGCAGGGTTGGGGAGGGCTCCTGCGGTTGCAATTGCTTATTTGTTCTGGTTTTGTGACATGGATGTAAGAACTAATGTTCATCTTATGCCAACATTGATTTAGTAATTTTTATTTTTCATTTAATGATACTTCTTAGATTCTAAATGTTCTTTGATTAACCAAAAGTTGTCCATCCTTTTATTCACTTTAATGAAGTGCTCCTTTTTAAGACTACTCGAATCTTCTTATTCAATGGTTGTGCATCTTGTTTTGATTTTTGTCATTTTTTAAAAGTTCTGTTTTCTCCAAGAAATTCACTGGATAATGTTTGGGAAAAAAAGAATATTGAGAAAAGTATATCAGGATAAATATAGCAAAAAAGGTCTTCAAGTATAAGTTTGTAGAGGCAAATAAACTGCAGTAGGAAACAAATATTAAGTGGTAACATCTTCTTTTTTTTCTTGAAGTGGGAAATCTGTTGATATCATTGGAATTTTCTTTTCTTGAAAATCCCATAGCATTTTCCTGTTTTCACACGCTGACAACATTTGAAATCTTACCCCAAGTGCTTTTCCACTGAATTTTATGGGTATCTTTTCAATGTAGTTTTCTTGTTCTTACGATGTTGTAGATTCTCACAGTACATTTGTGTTATTTGAACAGCTGAATACGGCGTATGAATTGCTTACTTCAAAGAGGCCTTGTGGACCAAATAAGGACGCTATTAGAGGGGCGACATATGATCTGGCAAAGAATGATCCGTGGAAGGAACCCTTTGAGAGCCTTCCTGATCATGCTTTCTCGGGTGTTGCTGACTGGGAAAGAAGTTTGATTCAAGAGAGAGTTCGAGCCCTTCGTGGTAGTTGAGCAGGCAGAATGATATGTGCTCTTAGTTCCACAAAACCATCAATAATATGGAGCATGGCCAGTTAAAAGGTATAGTTGAATGTTCCAATATTATTTTAGTAGCTTGTTAAATTGGGATCAGAGCCCTGGAAGGTAATGTGTGGGCCTCATATCACAATCAGACAAGAGGCCAAACTCCCTAGCCATTCTCTTTCAAAGGATGCAGACTTTATTTGGGTTCTATAGAGTATAGACCAGTGTTGTTAGATTTGCTTCGCTCCGCAAAGGCCTTAGTCATTGACTTTGGGTTGGAAAAGAAGCCCAGTGATGCTCAATCAATACTTTAAAAAATCAGCAAAATATTGGTGATATTTTGATATACCATGAAAATATTGGCAAAGGATTGCCAATGTTTTGAAAATATCGTGGATATTTTACAGAGGATACAACATACTTCGAATTATATAGATTTTTCTGAATCTTTATTTTCTGTATTAAAAATAAAAATAAAAAGCTATTCCTCAAAAAAAAAAAAAACGTCTTCCTTGAGTAAGGCTGAAGCGTTTCTCTTCCCCAGCCCAAAAGGAAGAGGCCTCCGAAGTGAGATTAACAAGATTGTAACCTAAACTGCATCAGATGCGTTATTGGATGTCCTAAAGCTGTACAATTAGGCTGTTAGTTCTCATTTGAACCAAAATCTATGTCAAATGCCTAAGCTAGATCTTATTAACCTATGCGAGGTTGTTTTCTTTTTATGTGAAGTAACCCTTGGATCCCGCCAGAATTTCTGAAATTAAGTTTAGATACAAGTCGAGTTTTTTAAAACATTGGTAATGAAATGATCTTTGTAATCCAATTCTAATATTTTCTTTTCTCTCTTTTTTTCCAAGAGGACCCCTTTCGATTTTGATTAGTACTTATGAATAAAATCAAATTAGCCAGTTGACTAGGCATATAAGAGACATTATTATGATCAAGAAACTATCTGATAAAATGCAAAGGCTGAGACCGGAACTGAAAGAACTCCAGATTTAATGAATGTTTCAATCTTTTGTAATAACCCAAGTTGCCTTGCGAGGCCCGAAGTAGTACCAAGGAAGCACCTGTGTTCCCTGCTCATCAAAAACATCTCAAAACTTCCAAATGCCCTAGAGACCAGAGCAGACTCCTCCACATGCCTCTTGGTGACCAACTAGGATCAAACCCCTCAGAAAAATTTGTGTTTGGTCTTTTCTAACTTCTTACAAATTTTAAACTCTTCCGAGTTTTTACAAGTTAGCTGTTTTACTCGGCGAGCTGACATACTTGAGCGATGACTGAGTGATCGAGTTTCTTGTGTTTTCAAATAACCCTGTTTAGACTAGGGGAGAGTAGTAGTGAAACCCCTTTGAAACATTGGATGAATATACTTCCCGTTCTTCGTCAATTTTTTTGGGTCCCCACCCTTGATAATGCACGTTTTATGATGTGTTCAAAGATGAATACATGGGAAATTTGAGAAATGATGAATTTAAGCGAAAGCCCTCTCCGTGTCCCCCTCTTTCCTTCTAAATTGGTTTCTTGTGTATAGAAGTTTGGTGCCTTTTTAATTTACATTTTTACTTTTATTTCAAGTTGGTTATCAAACTAATTGAGATCTAATTGTTGCAGGTCATTAATGCGATAATTCAACCAAATTCGGTGGACAATACTCTGGAATGTTAATTGTTATTGATTTTTCTTTCAATTCTCTACTAAAGTTGTTTTATTACTTAAAACGGAAAACAGTGAGTTGTTATATTGTGATTTCTTTAAATTTCAATGAGAAATGAACTGGTTGTTCTAATGTTTGGCATGGATCTCTTTTGACTTATGTTGTAAATTAATCAGGATTGGATTGGTTGTAGCCACTAATGATCGATTTCTATAATTGGATGCAAAGTTTTTCTCTTCTTGAAAGATGCATTGTATCAGGTTCGTTTCTTTACTCCTTTTTCTGTTTTTTTGATGAAAGAATAATATTAGACAAATCTATATGAACCAATGTTTTAAAAAATGGTTTGGTGTAGATGGCCTATCTAGCGATCCCCGATCTGGATCAGCTAAAAACTGTTATTTTCTTTTTGTGGTTGCGTGAATCAATCCCTCAAGGGTTAAGAGCCTATCAGTGCTAGACAATTGTACCATTCAACTTGGTAGACATGATAATACTTATTCCACACTATATATTTAACAGAAAAGTTAAATTAGATTACACAGTAGTCATCAAAGTCTCATAGAGACAACAACATTAGATAGGCCACAACCATATTTTGCCAAAGGATCTGCACGTGAAGCAAGTAAACATGAGAGGACGCATTCATGGTTTTACAGATGTCCATTATCTTCAGCCACATGGTCCTAAGGCTCCACAGTGCCTTCATTTCAGCAGAGCACCATTTTATCACATTCATCGAATCTCCTTTTACTATTCTAGATTATGTTCCTTGCTTACTTTGAGCAATTTTAAGACCTTGCAGCAAAGAGTTCAGCTGTGCCTCATTTGTGGTGGCGTTACCAAACAGACCAGCATATGAAAAAACGACATTACCTTTAGGATCTCTCAAAATGCCTCCAACCTCAGTTACTTTTGGGTTTCTTTTGCAGCTGCCATCAAAGTTTAACTTAAAGCAGCCTCTAAGTGGTGTTTTCCAACGGCAATTAGGCCGTCTTTTTCAGCCACCACTCTTAATCAGATTTTCTAAATTGATGAGCACATCAACCTGTGAAACACCCCTTCCTTCTTTAGTAATAGAAAACCATTCCCACAACAAATGGAGAATTTTGGATTTTACTCCCTCCATCTCCAATACCCATCCTTCAAAGGTCCTATTTCTCTCTCTCCATATTCCCATAACATAGAACCCCGAAAAATCTTCCATAATATAACACCAGTTTTAGGTGAGCCCGACACGTCAAGTTGATCTAAAATCCCAGTTAAACCACCCAGTATCATTGAAGATACTCCCATCTTACTAAAAGCCAATCCCCAAATCTGAGGCAAATGGACAATGGAAAAATAAATGCTCACCCGATTCTGCATCCTCCTTACACATCAAATTTGCAAATCATCTGTAGTAAGGCACTTACCTTGTGTACAACCACCCAAAGAAAGGCTTAAATTTTCAGCGGTAGAGACCATTCCCAAATTTTATTTAATAGAGGACAGCTCCATCGAAACTGGTCATAGAAAAGGAGTCGGTAGGCTGACCTTACAGTGAAAACCCCATCAGCCTCTCTTTTCCCAAACCAATTCATCATCTACATGTGGAGTAATGTGGATCACTTCAAGGTCACATAACAGATCATGTAACTGCATAATCACTGAATCTGGCACCATGTCATGTAAACAATTAACATTCCACACCTTTCTACCTTTCTCCATAGTAACCAAGTCATTGACTTAGCAGTTGCATTGAAACTTTAGCATACAAATCAGGATCGTGAACTCTGGGATAACAATCTCCTAACATTTGTTGTGCTAGAAGGAGATTTGATTACATTCACCAACCAACTACCAAGTATAATCCACCACAATACATCAGTGTTACGAGACTCTGCTTAGTAACTCGGCCTCACACTGGTGCTGAGCTGAGTTGAGTGCTGAACTTGTCCCCCCACTAGAAGCCTCCTTAAAAATTAAAAATAAAAAAATATTAGAAATCACCAATGTATTGGTTTAGAAACTACTTTTTTAGATTATTTTGATGGTTTTTAAGATGGTTTGGGGACTTTCATAGTTTTCATTTTTTTTTCCCTGAAATATTCAACGTAGTCCATCTTTTATAGTTTTTCTTCATCTTCTCTCGTCTTCTAATGATTTCTATTAATTCTTTTAACATTTTCTTACTTTTTATTATTTTCAGAGTTTTTTACGTTTTTTATTCGTCTGCATTTTATAGGGGTGTGCGCAACTCAACCTAGTCCACTCATCTTGACCAAGAGCCGAGTGTCTTGGCTGAGGTGATTCCAAACCATTGATTTCCATCCTCAAGAACAAGAGATCAAAGCAGGTGGCTGCCATGAACATCCCAAGAAACGAGAGATTGGGGCCCTCTAGTTTCATGGAAGAGAGTGAGACTGAGCAACAATGATTTCTCAGAGATGCATCGATGGTGAAACAAGAGGAAGCCAAAGAAAGCGCTATTTCGGATGGCAAAAATTGCTTTAAGGAGTTTTCAATGGCAAAAATTGCTTTACGGAGTTTTCAAACATGTATTTGAGAAATTTACGCCAATTACCATTACTAGGAAGAGCCCCTCCAATTTTTGTTTTTAAATGCAAGACCTTTTTTTTTCTATCGTTTTTCTATTCCCAAATTGTCACCATTTTAGATCTTCAAGATTCTAATTGACTAATTATTTTACAAGTTCCAACATTAAAGATAGGAAGTGATGGTAAATTTAGGGGAAAGAAAAAAAAAGGACATAGAGACTAAGATGAAATGAGTTATATCAGGTCTGACTTCGGATCTTGAATATATGAAGTGATAGCAAATTAAAAATAAATAATAAAAAAGTAAAAATGTGCATGGTTGTAACTAACTTTTTTTTTTTTTCTAATTCAATTTCGATTTAGAGCTTCAGGAATGCAATCTAAGGTTCGATTTTGATTTTAAGCCTTTTTTTTTTTCTTGCATGTTTTCATCCCTGGAATTTCAATCTTTTCTCTCTATATCTTTTTTAGCATCATAAACAGCCAATTTTGTGCCCATTTGACTCAAAATCGGGGGGTTGATCATTCCAACCCTGTCAGGCTACACAAGGTGCATTGAACATGTTTAGCTATGGAACGTTTTACAAATGACCCATAAGTTCTATACGAACTTGTGCTAGGTTTAGGTCTCTCTCTAGGCGAACCAGTTCTTTAAATAGGCAAATTTACATGGAGGAGTATCTTCCTTAAAACGATCTTGGGCGGGAAGGCTATGGCATGGTGCATGAACGAGCATGCAAATGTGAGCTGGTGGTAAGGACCCTTGATGCGAAGCCTTAGTCAACTGGTGCGAGCTAGTGGTATGGACCCTTGACGCGAGACCTTGGTCAACTGGTTGGTCGAACCATGGGCATTGACCTCACGAGACATAGGGCACGATCCTGTGCAAGAGGAGATTGAGCATACATTTTCAAATTCAAAATGTATAGCCGCTTCATATATGGACTTGGTTAAGTCAGTTGAGCAGAGCCTAGAACAATCATTGATGGTGGGGTGTAGGCCTGTGTTATTGTTTGGTGGAAGCAATTGTGGTAAATGTTTTAGTGGCTATAAAATGAGGGGGTGTGTGTTTTTCTTCATTTTTCTTTTGTATAGGTTTGTAAGGCTCCCTTTGCTTTAACGGGTTTTAACTTTTGCTTAATATTACAACGTTTGACAGAGTAAAAACATTAGTTTCCATAACTGCCATACCACGTTCTTGGGATCATTATTCTTCCCGTAATTATGGAGGAGATTATATAGGAGATTTATATAGGATCTATATATGGGTTTTGGTAGGTTACACTACTTGTGGTGTAGACATTTAGATACCTTTATCTTGTAGTAAATTAATTTTTTGTTTAGGGATATTTTAAGTAATTAATCAAGGGTAAATTAAAATTTTTTAATAGAAACAAAATCATTTATTAACAATAGTGGACAATGACATCATCAATATGATATGTGACATCACTCACAAGATGCATTAATTGTTTTTAACTATTAATAGAATGCCACTATTTTATTATAAAAATATCTATTCTACTATTCTTAATGACAAAAAATGCCCCTACTTGAAAAATTTTGTATTACAATTTAAGGATACTTTAATGTAAAAAAATGTTGAGCATTTTAAAAGTCTAGGATCCTCCTTCACCCAAGTGTGTAGGATTCCAAAGGACCACCATTAAATTTGACACGGATCCCCAAAAAGTTATCACATGGGTGCGGAACTTGGCTTTTTTAGAAATCCGTACCAAATTTAATAGTAATCTTCTGAAGTCTTGCATATATGGGTGGGAGAGGGTCCTAT